CATCTACTTTTGGGCATTTGGGCTGCTTCCATGTTTTTCCAATTGTAAATAAAGCAGCAATAAACATGGGGGTACAAGTATCTTTTTCAATCAGCACTTAACTAGCTAATATTTCTTTGTTTATATGTGTGTTTCTCCACACAAGTCTTAAGCTTCCAGAGCACAGAGAGCTTGTCTGTCATGTTTATTAATCTAGGCTCAAAGCTACAGCAACACCTGTAACATTCAGCATAGGCTTAATATTTGTTGAAAAAAATTTAATGCAGTGAAGGATGATAAAGTCACACCCAACACGGCTACGAATTCAACTTTCCCAAGAATTACAGTTCCGAAGTTAGATCCTGGAAGCCTGTGGAAATTTGACAATAAAAGATCTGGAGCTGAAGGCAGGGAAGCAGAAGGAAAATACTGGAAATTTGGCCTTTTTTTTTTTTTTTTCCTAGCTCAGGACCCCAGAGATCTTGAAAAAGAGAGGCCTAGAACCTTTCGAACATACATTGTAGCCCAGTCACGATAGGCATTTTCCATCGACGATTCTTCACAGCCACTGTGCCAGGTTGCAAACGTGCAAACACCTCTAGGACCCCGAGTTCCTTTCTGTTTCTTTATGAATGAAGCAGCTCGGGTCTGCGCATGCGCAGGTGCGGCTCTCCCACTCCACGTGAGGCCCACCCTTCCCTCCTGCGCCGGCCCCGCCCCCACCGCGTCTAGTACACCAATGGCGGCCGGCCTTGGGGGTGGAGCCTGGGGCGGCGCGCGCCGCAGTTCCCGGCGCCCGCTCCTGTGCGTTAGTCTTGCACTGTTGTGATCACGTGGCCGGCTACGGGCGCGGCGCTCGTTTTGGTTTCCGTCTGACTAGCCCCTGGCCCTTTAGGGGTGAGCGGCTTGGCGGCGCTGGCCCCGCTGACCTCCGCTTGGGGCTCTCTGCCGGCAGTTCTGCGAGCCCCTTGGGGCCAGCTCCTGCTATGTCGCTGATGGCTGCAGGAAGGTGGTCATCCTGGGGAACGGCTCTGTAGGCGAGGCGAGGCTCTGGGAGAGCACACCGCGGCTGTGTGGCCAGAGGAGGCGCTCTCCCAGGAGCGTGACCCTGGGAGGCAGGGGGGCATCGTTGGCAGATCTAGGTGCAGAGCGAACATTGAAAGGATGGCGGAGGAGAGGTTGGAGGTGGAGAAGTGTGGGGGGCTGCAGGAGGCGGGAGCATGAAAGGGTTAATGTGAGTGTGGCTGTAGGAATATCAGAGTGGTCCCCAGCCTTGTTCTGGGAAGTAGGGTCAGGCTGTCAGGACGGGGGTGTGGTCTGTGTCCAGGTGTGTGTTTGATGCTAGGTCACCGGGATCCTCCCGGGGTGGGACGGGGAGAGCCTCCCCCAGTTGCTGCCTGGCCGGTGGCCAGGGTGCAGAGACCGGGGTGAGCAGGGGAGTGAAAGAGGGGGAAGGTAAAGTATCCCGCGGTGCACTCTCAGGCTGGAATGCTACTTCGGTGTCCCCTTTAGTTCTGGGTCACCGCTGGAATGGACACAGAGGGTGACGTGGATACAACTATCACTGTTTCCCACAGGGAAGACGTCTTTGGCACATCAGTTTGGAGGGCGAGTTCCTGGAAGGCTATGACCCTATAGTGAGAACAGTGCCTCGACTCCCACTAGGGACGGAAGGTCTTGGGTGCCCCCCCTCCAACTCCATAATTTGGGAGTTGCCTGATGCCAACAGGTTTATTTAACTAGATGTCAATCTAATCCCTTCTCTCAGTGGAGCTAGTGTGTGGATTTGGAAAGGTAATGAGCCACAAGGTACTAAGAGCCACAGGATACTAAGTCCAAGATTCACATGGCGATGGTGAGACCGGAACCCTAACGTTGTCTCTTTCGTTTCCTAGCAAACTCTGTGGATGTGGTCCATCTCTGGCACCTCCAGGGCTAAGAAAGTATGGGGCACACACCACTAGTTCTCCAAGCCACCTCACAGTGACTTTTTTTTCCTTTTCAGCTTACAGCAATATAGTGACTCTTGGCAAAGATGAGTTTCTTCTCCACCTGGTGGATATAGCAAGGCAGGTACCAGTTTGGGGTAGGATCTCTGAACATGGCAGCCCAGTCCTGGGAGATGAAGTGTGGTAGCCTCTGATGCATCTGGAAAGTAGTGTTAAAGACAAGCATTTTAACAGCTAGTGTGCAGCGCCTGTTGAAGCTACATACTGGAGAGTAGTGACTGGAATAGGAAGCATCCTGGTGAGAGTCCTCAGGGCCCCAGCTTAGTTAGACCCTCTAACTTTTGCCATCTGAACGTTGTGGATTTAGTGTTAATGTTTCTGTTCCTTGGCAGGATGAGTACAGCATTCTGCCCTACTCATTCGTCATGGGGGTCCACGGTGATGTGCTTGTGTATTCGGTCACCTCTCTGCATAAGTAAGATTGCCAGTAAGGGATTGGGGTATCTGAGCTTATTTCCAGAATAAGCCTATAACTCTGCCTCCTGTGTTTATAGCTTCCAGGTCATTGAGAATATGTACCAAAAGCTGCATGAAGGTCATGGGAAAACTCGGTAAGTGGTCCTGGGGGATAGTGGGCACAGTGGGGACATGGCAGGATGGAAGCAAGTGACAGGGGTTTTGGTCCAAGGCCGAGGCGGCTGGGAGATACACCTGTCTGATGGGGCGCTGTCCAGTTTTGTGAAGGCAGGCGGACCCCATGGGAAATAGGAGGGAATCCTGTAGTAGCTGTTATTCTCTTACAGGATGCCTGTTTTGCTAGTGGGGAACAAGGCAGATTCTCACCAGAGAGGTATGGAAATCTCTGTAGTTTTAGCCGAAGTAGCTGAACTAGGAGTCAGTCCAGCTGTAGTCCTGACTCTGGCACTGACTTTTGAACAGTTGTTTCACTTCTATTTGTTTCTAATTTGAAGGTTATGACAAAGTAACCCCTGTATTACAAAAGCTAGGATTTTAAATTTCAAGCCTCAGTCCTAGGCTTGTTTTCTTTTTTTTTTTTTTTAAAGATTTATTTATTCATGCATACAGAACTGGGGTACAGGCCAGAAGTGCAGGGGTGGTGAGAGGATTCACCGGAAACAGAGTGGGGAGTAGAACTGGCTGACTGACTGGCTGGCTCACTGCTGAGGGGAGCAGCGAGTCTGCTGCGCCATGTGGGTCACCTCTGGGGCCAGGGATCGAACTTGTACTGAAGTGGCTATGGCCAGCTTGCAGTGCTGTGTCCCAACCTGTTGCGCCACCAGGGAGGGTTCCCAAGCTTGTTTTTCTGTATTTTTCTCCTTCCTTAACCTTCCTCCGAAGCCTCAGGGAAGTGGGGGTGGATCAGAGGAAGTCTAGATTCTAAGGATTTTGCAGAGAACATGGGTTAATTGTTTGTCCTCCTCCTCCATTCCCCATATTTGCTTCTAGGGAGGTCCAGGCAGCTGAAGGGAAGAAGCTGGCAGAGTCTTGGGGTGCGACATTATGGAGTCATCTGCTTGAGACAATCAGGTGCTGGACCTGAAGATTAGGCAGGTGGTGAGGCTAGCAGTTTTGTTCTTAGGGTACTACATGGTGGGGGAATGGTGAGGGTGTGGGGTGTTTGCCGTAGGGCTGGGTGATATTAGGAGTGAATTAACTTTCTTTTTACCCTGAATCTATGCCTTATAGCTGATTCAAGGCCTCTTCTCCAGAGCCCTCCAGGAGACTGAGCGGGTAGAGAACGCCTATGGACGAGAGCGTCACTGCAGGCTCCTCCAACACATACAGCATGGAGTAGTGGTCTTGAGTTGGGACCTGGCACTTGCCAGGTTCCAGCAGGGGCAAAACCACAGGACTTCATGGGTATGGCTTCTGGCTGTGCCTCTGGCCCTCTGGGCATACAGTGTGGTACCCTCATGTTGCACACTTTACCCAGGCTACAGTGGTCTGGTTGTGTGTTTACAAAGGGGCAAGGGTGGCTCGTGGCACTGACCTCTAACCTGCTTTCTGCTAGATGAGCTGTTCCAGCCTGCAGCGTTGGAACGTGATTCTTGGGCATCATCGTTTATTTAGGACCCAGTCTCCAGTGTGAGAGGAGCTTTGATACCTGAAGTGGAGCTGGCTCCCTAGGGTTGACGATATACATAAGCAAATAAACTGAGGAATCTTTTTATCATTACTTTCTCTGCCTCTGGGGAGAGCTGTGGCCAGTACACTTTTTGCTGACCTTTGATGGGAAATCCAGGCTAATTCTTTTCTCCTACCTCATGTCTATTCCTTATTCCTCACCCACCCAGGACCATTGCCATAACACTCACTACTTGCCTTTCCCACCTTTCTTTCTACTAACTTTTTCCTCTGTAGGTACCAGTTGGCGCCACTCCCATCCAAATGTATAGGTCTTTAAGGTCCCTTGACTGCAGAAACACCGCCCTCTAGTGGCCAGCTGCCACATGCTGCCCCAGCATCCATCCTGGGGCCTTAGCATTTGCTGGAACTGAGAGAGGGTAGGGGTTGGAGAGGAGGAAGGATGCACCTCATTTCCAACATGGAAGAATTGAGGAGTGGAGAGGTGGGGACTAAAGTGCTAGGAAGAATCTGGCTTTCCAAGAGTTAAGAAATAATGCCCCTGGTTTGTATCCAAGAGTTAAGAAATAATGCCCCTGGTTTCCCTCCATGTCTCCGGTGTCTTTCATTAAAATGGATGTTTTTATGCTTTTGGTTTTTGTGCTTTTCAGACCTTTCACATCTCTGGAGTTGTGCTACTTTTTAAGGTATTAAAGGCTATTGCTTGTGTCTTATTGCTCCAGCAGCTCAGTAGAATGGATGGATATGTCAATGAGGCAGGTTTGTGCTTACCTGACTCTACTTGCCCCTCATTCCAGCCCTAGGACTAATATCTCCTCCAAGGACTCATAAGGATTACTGGAATAGTAATCCTCTACAAGGCAGGCACAGACTTCTGCCAACTGGGGAAGTCTGAGGTACCCTTTCAATGTACCTGTTGGGGAGAGTGGACAAAATGTAGGTGTTAGCATCTGGTTCCAGGCTGGTTGGGCTTACAGTTGGGGATGATGGTTTGGCATGCTGGTTTTCAAAAGTGCTGCCAGCTGATTTTGCATCTCTGATGGCAAAAACATAAAAAGTAATAGAAGCTGCTGGAAAAAGCATACACCAGAGAGTAATCTTACTGGTTAAGGAATCTTTGGGATCATCATCATTACCTCCTCTCCTTATATTTAGATGAAGTCCTTTTGTACATCTGACCTGGAGGTACAAAAAAAAAGAGGGACCAGCCCTCCTGCTACCATTTCCATGAGGTCTGGGGAAGGCTTACATGTTTAGAAGTTTTCTAGAAGTATATTAGGCAATCTCAAGGTGATAGTAGTAAAGAATGGTGCTTAAATACTGGGTTGGGATAGCTGTGCGACCTTGAGTAGTTCCTTAGCATCTTTGAGACTCATCCTATTTTCTTTTTTAAAGATTTATTTATTACTTATGTATATAGAACTGGGGTACAAGCCAGACGTGCAGGGGAGGTGAGAGGATTCACCAGAGACAGTGGGGAGCAGGACAGGCAGATCAACAAAGTAAACTGCTGAGGGGAGCAGCGGGCAGGTCAGGAGAGGTCTGCTGTGCCATGTAGGTCACCTCTGAGGCCAAGGATCAAACTCACACTGAAGTGCCTGTGGCCAGCTTGCAGGGCTGGGTCCTAACCTGTTGTGCCACCAGGGAGGGCCACAAGACTCATCCTCTTTAATGCAGTTAAACCTTCTTAATTAAATGAGGTGATAATGAAAATTTAGTTCCTCACGTGCAATAAACTTAAGAAATAGTGGCTATCTAGTGAGGGCCTTTTTCCTGCCTCAGAAAGTAGGGAGCAGACTTCCATTTCTCAACATCTCCTGGGTTAACTTATTCCACTTTAGCTGGAGCATGTGAGGGAAGACTGCCAGAATCTTGTTGAAATAGATGTGATGGTCAGTGCAGGTCACAAGATGTCACTGTGGATGTATCTAGTCCTGATCCTTCCTGCCACTATGAGGACTTTAGGCCTGTCCAATGTGGAAGCCACAATATAGAACCATCACATAAGGCTATTTCAATTTAATTTAGTATTAAAACTAAATAAAAGTTCTTTAGCTGCACCACCTACATTTCAAAGTGTCTAAGCCATTATTAGTGTAAATATAGTTAGTGCCTTTCTGTCTTTGTAGAAGTTGCATTGGTCAAGCTGTAAGCGGTTTCCCATAAACCACTCTTGCACCTGATCTGCTTGTCTCTTTGTATCTTTAAAATATCCCTCCCCCCAGATTTATGTGTGTGTGTGTGCACACACACGTGAACACACATCCTTACACGCGCACATATAAATCCTAGGAAAAGCATCACTACTTGTATGAATCAGGGCTCACTTTCTTACTAGCTGAGGTTCTTGGGTAATTTAACCCATTTTAGCTCAATCTCATCTGTACAACGGAAGTAATTGCATATTATTCATAATGAGGAATAAAATAAGCACATAAAGTATCTAGCACGTAATTTATCTCCTGTCCACCCCGTGCACCCCGTGGGTACAGCTAATGCAGAGAGAGGCATTCCTTTTCTTACCCAGATTTATGAGGAGCTGGGTGTTTTGGGATTTTGTCTATAGAGTATCAGTACCCCTGCCAGATAGCCGCAAGGTTCCCAAGCACATCCCCTCCATTTACCTCAAAAGGGACAGGGGCCTTGAGTGTCCGGAAAGACTAGGGCTGGGAGTGGGTACACCAGGGAGAAGAAGGAAAACTACATAAATATTGCGATGGGGAGAGGTGTGTGGTGATGAGTGTTGGGACACTGAAAGTCCTTTTTCCTCACTAGGGGGTTTGAGATTCAGGGGGCCGACTAGGGACTCATTCCGGTCTGCTCTGGCCCCCCAAACCTAGCCAGAGCTCATCCTCTGCAGAGCCAGGCACCCTGCCTCACTTTCTCCATTGGAGGACTCCAGTTCCCAGGATGCAGAGCAGCGGCCAATCTCAGGCTCTTCTTCCAACCCCCTCCCGGGAAAGATCGCTCCAGACCGAGAGAAGGGGGCAGCTGGAGTTTCGGGGACGGAGAACGCCCAGGGAACAGAATTAGAAAGTGGCCGGAGTGCCTGTTTCACGCCCCGGGCGGCAAGGGGGGGCAGTTCGAGGGCGCTGGCGAGGCGGAGGGGGAACTCAACCCCACGTGTCGGCGCCGCGGCCGGCCCGGCGCGGTGGGGGTTAACTCGTGGCGGAGGGATCCGCAGCGTGTGCGTAGAACTGCAGAGTCACAGCTTTTCGTCCGATAGGGCCGTACTCCTCCGCCGCTCCGCTCCAACACAAAATAGGGCCGCGTCTTCTCCTTTCTCCCCTTTTCGAGTGGGGTTCCCCGGGCAAAAGGCCCTCCTGGATCTCGCGCCGGAGGCTTCCTGGATCTCCACGACCGCTGCCGAGATCTTGGGCCAGGAAATAGCCCCTTCGCAGGAACCACCCTACCGGCCGAACAGGAGGCGGAGGGGGGGAGGCGGAGCGGCGCCGCGCTGCACTACTTTCCTCTCCGGTTGCAAATGGCTGCCTCGTTCCCCACTTTCCGCTCAGTTTTCTGACCCCCCGGCGCCGGGAGCCGGGGTTGGGCCATGCACCTCTAGGCCCCCCGCGATCACAACCAGCTGGGGGTCTAGGGGGTGTAGCGGATCCGAGCGGCCAGGCCGGGGGCGGGGCAGCTCCCGAGGCCGGAGGGGAAGGGAGGCGAGCGCCGGGCCTGGAGCGGCCGGAGGGGAGCGGGCAGAGGGCTCGCACCGCCCGCCCCTTCCTCTTCCTCGCCCACCTACCCTCCTCCCTGCCCCGGGGGGAGCCGGAGGTGGGGGGGCTCGAAGTCGCGGGGGGCGAGCGCTCCGGGTCGAGGAGCCCCGAGCTGGGTGTGTGTCAGGCGCAGCCCCGCAGCCCCGCCGGCTCAGCTTCGCCGTAGCGCTCGCG